CCTCAAAGAGGCCCTAATTTGCACCCTAATTTTCGGCAAATTTGCAGGCAGGGGTTTGGGGGCGCAGCCCCCGGGAGCCAAGGCAAATTTGCGCAAATTAGCCTCGCCAAACAGTGCAAATTAGCTAATTTGTGTGAATTAGGTATGTACACATTCTTCAATCCCACGTCGTCCATTCTCCCTCTTCAGGCGCTAGAATACCAGCGTCCACGCTATCCAAACTTGTCTTTGCCGTGTGGTCCTGGCCTGGATTGGTGGATGTTGTTTTAGAGCCATCTGACACGCTATCCGCCAAAACGCCGATGTAACGAGAGATGTCGAATTGGGTCTGGAGGTCAAAGTAGGCGTGTTGTGATCCAGATAAATCAGGCAAACCATCGTCTAGCCAGGCCATGGGATCGTTCTCTGGGTCAACGGTGTTGGTGCTGCTGGGTTTGTCGTCTTCAGCAATATCATCGTCCTCTCCTGGCTTCTTTCTAGACATCGGGGGATGCTTGATATCGGCCTGAATGTCGCGCCAGTTGATTGTAACTGGCTTTTTTGGCTTGTCCTGTTGGTTTGTGGGAATGTGAGCACTAGTGGCTACCACTTTATTTCTATAACCTAGACTTAAGCCTAGAGGGTCATTTCTATAACTTAGACATAAGCCTAGAGGCCATATCTATAATGCTTAGGATTTTTTGAAAGGCATTTCAAATGTAGGCCTGGGTATTTCATAGTGAATTTTCCATAGATACCCAGTGCATTTTCTGCGAAATTTCAAATGCAGCCCTGGATATTTCATTGCGATTTTTCAATAGATACCCTGGGTATTTCATTGGGAAATTTTCAAATGTCACCCTTGGTATTTCATTGCGATTTTTCAATGGATACCTGGCGCATTTCACTGCGAAATTTCAAATGTAGCCCTGGGCATTTCATTGCGATTTTTCAAATGATACCCTGGGTATTTCATTGCAAAATTTCAATGTAGCCCTGGGCATTTCATTGCGATTTTTCAATATGTATCCTTGGTATTTCATTGCAAAATTTCAATGGATACCTGGCGCATTTCATTGCGATTTTTCAATAGATACCCTGGGTATTTCATTGCGATTTTTCAAATGTATCCCTGGGTATTTCATTGCAAAATTTCAATGGATACCTGGACATTTCATTGCGATTTTTCAAATGTATCCCTGGGCATTTCATTGCGATTTTTCAAATGTAGCCCTGGGCATTTCATTGCGATTTTTCAAATGTATCCCTGGATATTTCATTGCAAAATTTCAATGGATACCTGGCGCATTTCATTGCGATTTTTCAATAGATACCCTGGGTATTTCATTGCGATTTTTCAATAGGTACCCTGGGCATTTCATTGCGATTTTTCAATAGATACCCTGGGTATTTCATTGCGATTTTTCAAATGTAGCCCTGGGCATTTCATTGCGATTTTTCAAATGTATCCCTGGATATTTCATTGCAAAATTTCAATGGATACCTGGTGCATTTCATTGCGATTTTTCAATAGATACCCTGGGCATTTCATTGCGATTTTTCAAATGTATCCCTGGGTATTTCATTGCAAAATTTCAATGGATACCTGGTGCATTTCATTGCGATTTTTCAAATATATCCCTGGGTATTTCATTGCGATTTTTCAATAGATACCCTGGGCATTTCATTGCGATTTTTCAATAGATACCCTGGGCATTTCATTGCGATTTTTCAAATGTATCCCTGGGTATTTCATTGCGATTTTTCAAATGTAGCCCTGGGCATTTCATTGCGATTTTTCAATAGATA